TGTGCCCCCTTCCCCCCAGTAGTGTCGAATTCACTGTCTTCGCGCCCAATGATTTCCGTTCTGGCAGATCTGTTGAGTCCCGTTACCATCCTGAGCAGGCGAATCGCTGTTTTATTTATACAGCCAGACAGAGCTGGTTGGCCGTGGATGATGATGTACTGTTATTGCAAGGGGTTGGCGGATCTTTGAATCGCGTGACCAGAAACTTTAAATAAACCGGGAGTGATCTCCGCTAAACTTTCTCGAATATTCTTATATGAAACAACAGGGAAATCGCTTAAAAGTTGATACAGAACTACACATTCGATAGAATACTTATTAGCGAAATTCCATCAACCTTACTGAAACGTTACATAAGTTACTGTATTCACAGACAGACACACGCACACCAAATTGCAAAATTTTCCAACTCATGTAGGCGTAAAACGTAAGATTTGTTAAAATCTCTTCTTGATTTTTTGCACGATTACACCGCTTCCTCTATATTCGTATACGAGAAAATGAAAATAAAAAGGTTTTTTTTGGCACACTGTAAAGAAAGCAGTGCAGCTCACACTAATTAAACCTAGTATCAGATTAGATATACATGAGAGAGAGACACACACACATAATGTCTTTAAGTACACAATGAACACTAAGGAAATGTTAACAAAAAATAACATGCGACGATTTACGTCTAGGGAAGTTCAAGTAAACTCGCGAAACATTTGATAGCATACACAACAAAACACGTTAAATTAGCTGAGATATGCGCGCTAACCTAGTTAGCTGCTAGTGCAGGAGCCTTCTTAATCAATGAAATTAGATTAGACGCAGGCAAATAGACGATGTGTGGTATGTGTGTGATGTCTATGAGGGAGGGGGGGGGGGGTCTACACAAAAGGAGCTATTTACATTGGGATACCCACAAAAGGAAACAATCTGCGTGGCTTTTGTTACTGTCTTGTTAAGAATTAATGGCAGAATCACGTCAGACCGCACCCTTGCTAATCAAAAGAAAAGGCTCGGGGTAAAAAGGTGATGAATAGTTATCGACGATAGAGAAAATTCATTCAGCGATAATTATGTAAGCACTTGTGGTGTAATCTTTCGTGCTTTTAATTTTCAGAGGTCTTTCAGTAGTAGTTTCTCACGAAGGTCTTCGTGTTGTAGGTTCTTAGTAAGCTCTTTGCGTCATTTCCTGGGAGGTGTTTGAGTCGTAATTCTCAGGGACACGTCTTAAACTCTGGAAGGTCTTTTTCATATACCTCCCAGGAAAGTCTTTGTGTCATGACTCACAGGAAGGTCTTTGTGTCAAATACTGAGGAATATCCTTTTCTTACAACTCATTGGAAGACCTTGGTGTCATAAACTATCAGGACGTTAATTTGTCGGAACTTTAAGGAAGGTCATTGTATCATATAAACTTTAAGGAAGGTCATTGTATCATAAACTATAAAGAAGGTTAATGTATCATAAACTATAAAGAAGGTCACTGTATCATAAACTATAAAGAAGGTCATGGTATCATAAACTAAAGAAGGTCATTGTATCATAAACTTTAAGGAAGGTAATTGTATCATATAAATTTTAAAGCAGGTCATTGTATCATAAACTTTAAAGAGAAGGTCATTGTATCATAAACTGTCGAGAAGGTCCTTGTGCCCTAAACTACACTGAAGGTCTGATTCCTAAACTCAGAGAAGTTTCAATGGGTCGTAAAATCACAATAGAAAAGAAAACAAAGATGTCGCAGTGTACCAAAAACACCGCATTTAACGCTATAAGGTATGAACAAAATATGAGCACACGCTGTGCCAATAACTGGATGCGTTTTTCTGGTAGCGATGCTATCACTTCAGGCCTGGGGGTGTTTTTGTGAATGTGTGGGTAAAAATGTGAAGGGTGAGTCTGTTAGTGGGGTTTATTGTTGTAGACGTATGTCAGCATGAGTGATAGAAATGTATGTATGTGTGTGGGTGTGTTTGTGTGAGATGGTTTGTCTGATGATACCTGTGTTTGTGTGACTGCATGTAATAGTGTTTGGGTGTGATGGTGTCTATGTGTGTGGTGGTGTCTGTATTTGTTGGTGTCTGTGTGTGATGGTTTATGTGTGTGATTGTGTCTGTATTTGATGGTGTCTGTGTGTGGCGTCTATATATGTGTGTACCGTAGGACACTGTACCCAACACATGACAAACGACTCCATGTGTTGAATATTAAACGCGTGTTAAATGCTACAGACACATGCGGCCATCAGAGACCCCTACATGATGAGCTTGAAGGGGGGAGGGGGGTGGCAGTTCTGGTTATTAATCATGAGGCGTGGGGGTGTTGTGTGTGTGGGGGGAGGGGGGGGGGAGTAGACGAGCTATTTATCAACCGCCAGTGTTACACCACTTGCGTGACGGATAAACACCGCATCGTTTGAATGTATGCCACAATAAGCATTCTTGATATATGCATGTGCATATGGGGTGGCTGTGTGGGTGAGGGGTGTGTGTGGGTGATGTGGCTGTGGGTGGGGTGGCTGTGGATGGAGGGGGGTAGAGGAGCTGTTTATCAAGCGTCAGTGTGACAACACTTACATGTCGGGTAAACATTGTTAGAATGTATGCCACCATAAGCATGCTTTGTATAAGGCGCGTGTGCAGAGGGTGTGTGGGTGAGGGGACTGTGGGTGAGAATAATGTGAAGACCGTACATGCGAGAGGGCGCCATTGATTTCGTTGTTCACATGTAGGCAATGGGACGAGTGTCAGGCAGTCAAGGGAGTTCACCCTGACGGACAAAATACCACGCAGACGACAAGCACCGCGCTGGGGGATGTAATAAATTGATGGCAACCTTTGGCCGTCTGCTCTCATGTCTGTCCCCCCCCCCCTTCATGTAACCTTAAAAGGCAACAGGGTGTTAAAAAAAATCCCCATAAAAAATCTCATCCGTAAAATAAATAAGCGCATTAATTTTTGGATGATATCCTTTTAATGTCGGATAGCTTCCCCTGGTCAATAAATAAATGCCGCGAGCAGTGAAAGGTTTAAAAAAAAAAATATCAACATTTTTTAAAACCATACATCTATCCAGATGTTTATGTGATAATAGCGATAATGGGAAACTAATGTACATAGCGCATTGTATAAAGCAATCAACAGCGTTAAGTGAATTGTATGATAAATCCCGCGCCGATCTTCGCTGAATCGATGGGGCTGTTAGTAGTTACAATGTTTGACAGGCTGCAAAAAGTACTCGATAACACAATACAAAAATTGTCGAGCTGCAAAAAGTACGCGAACCAAGAAGAAAAAAATTAGGGGATTTCCCTTAGAGTAACTTAGTGTCACTGGTTTGTGCTTGGTGTGGTTTTATATTTAATGCAGTGTTTCTTCCAGACTTTTTTCTCGAGGGGGGCACTTGAAATTTTCGGGGGGGGGGGGGGGGGGGGCGGGGCGCGGACGCTGTTAAAAGTATATATTCACTATATAAATTCCATTTCGTTGGGGGGGGGGGGGGTAGACTTTCTTCGGGGGGTGGGGGCTCCACCCGAAGGGATGCCTGGAAGAAACTCTGATTTAATGAACTACTGTATCCGTGTAACTGAACTGTTTCCGTTAACACGTTGACCATTCTCTTTTTTTATATGAAAACTGCTTAAGTATAATAAAATATAGGTGTCTAATCAGAGGCGTAGTCGACAGGGACATTAATTGAGGGGAGGGTAATTTTCCAAAATAATCGAGTTACACCCCCTCCCCCATCTAAAATTATCGACTGAATCTGTCACGAACGACGCGCCTCTCACAGAATAAAAACCGTTTCAAGAAAATATCAAGGAGAATTAAATAAACTCTACTTCATCAGCCCTAAGGGCAGTTAGGTCAGAAAGGTTAATTTTTCAAACTATCTAGATCTACCAACCCCAGTTAACATCAATCCTGTTCCATCATTTCTGTTCAACAATTCAGAAAGGCTAATTTTTAAAAATGGATTTTCAAACTATCTAGATCTACCAACTCACTCCAGTTAACGTCAATCCTGTCCCATCATTCTGTCCAACAATTCAACAACCGAGGCAGTATCTAGTCAACACCAGCCAAACCAACCCAAACACCGACCTTCGAGTTCCCACAAAGCGAAGATAATTAAATAATGAGGCAAATAAGTCAACAGAGTTAGCGTTCGTTGCATACGTTGTCGTAGTTTGTAGTAGCCCTGCGTGGTTGTCTCTCCTTGATCGCAAATCGATTGATACGAAGAGGGAATTGGAGGGGAAGGAGTGGAGAACAAGGACAAATGAGATAGAAACTAGATGGCCACGTCATTATAAATGAATAAACGGTTTGCTTCAGGCTGTTATAAATCCGAAACTTGCCGAAATCCCGCTAGATTAAGATAAATAGCTGTATGTTATATTATATTAGTATAAAGAACTCCCCTTCAATGAGAGTTATATCCCCTTTCTATTTATTACATTTCAGATGACATCAGTCCCAGCAGAACCCAGCGAGTTACCCTCCTTAAGTACACCCATCAAATCTACGTCAACTATAGACCGTCAGATACAAAAACTGGGAGTCAAAATCCAGCAAACAAATCAATATTTCCGCGAATTTTAGTAACAACTACGTGATTATACTACTGACGTCGAATGCTTTACGAAGCACTGGAAATATAAAGAATAATATAAAAAGGAAAAACAAAAATGAAATTTAATGTGGAAAAACAAAAACATATGATGTTTCGACATTAGGACTTCACCAGCATAAACAATAACAAAGATTAAAAAAAACCAAGTGATATAATATTGGTATTACCCAGTGAAATGTAACAGACAATGAAAATATTCAAATCGTCAAACAAGAGCAAGTCATGCATACATAGTTAATGTATCTACCAAATATCATACCAGGCGGTGGGAATAGGATGCTGTGCTTCTAGTACCACCCCCCCCACCCCCTGCGTACTACTGGCCATACCAACAGCCAAATGTGACACAGTTCTCTCCAGTATCCAGTACAACATGGCGAAGGTCAAGTCAAAACAATAATTAAAAACAAAACACGTCCTATGAAGGAGTCAAAATTTTCAGAGTACGATTACCAAAAGAGGTTTCGGAAACAGACTTCAGCAGAAGATATGTCTTTCAGGAAAAAATTGCTGTCCTTCACGCCGGAAAACTCAACTCCGGTCAAACAGCTGGACAGGCGGGGAAGCAGCAGCCACAGTGAGGACGAGGTCAGCCATCAAAGTTCTGAGTAAGTAGATGGGTTGTCTGCAGGGTGTATGGGATATGTGTCGTCTGCTAAGTTGATAGGTGTCTTTTGCTCGGTGAAATGTGTAAGTATCGTCTGTTGAGGGAAAGTTGTAAATGTCGTTTTCTAGGACAGAGTAGCAAATATCGTTTGCTAGGAGAAAGTAGTAAATATCGTTTGCTTGAAGAAATTAGTAAATATAGTTTGCTGGGGAAAGTTGTAAATATCTGCTAGGAGAAAGAATCGTTTGCTAGAAGAAAGTATTAAATATCGTTTGCTAGAAGAAAGTGTTAAATATAGTTTGCTAGGGGAAAGTTGTAAATATCTGCTAGGAGAAAGAATCGTTTGCTAGAAGAAAGTATTAAATATCGTTTGCTAGAAGAAAGTATCTATATATATAATTCTCTACTGGGAGCCGTTAGAAAACAAGCTGCAAGCGCCTCCTTGCAGTCCCCTCTCTTTCTCTCTATCACTATCACTACCACCCCCACCCCACCCCCACATTGTCTGGTGAGCTGTGGTCACGCTAAATGTTTACAAAGCTAAATGTTTACAAGCCGTAGAGTAGGGTTTCTATTAGGGGCAGATAATTTAGTTAGATTTTAAACTTACAGGAGGTAACTAAGAAATAACTAAGAGGAGGCTGCTTTCACGGGGGGGGGGGGGGGGGTGTAGGGTCGGGGTTAGGGGAAAGGGGGGGGGGGGGTTAGTGTTTTAAAGCAAATATTTTCAGTGGCAGCATTGGTACTGTCGAATTCACAAATTATGAATTACTGAAAAGTAGAAAATAAAACAACTAAATAGCGGCGTATGATACGCTGCGGGTCGGCTCGTTAAATATAGTTTGCTAGGGGAAAGTTGTAAATATCGTTTGCTAGGAGAAAGTAGTAAATATCGTTTGCTTGAAGAAATTAGTAAATATAGTTTGCTGGGGAAAGTTGTAAATATCTGCTAGGAGAAAGAATCGTTTGCTAGAAGAAAGTATTAAATATCGTTTGCTAGAAGAAAGTATTAAATATAGTTTGCTAGGGGAAAGTTGTAAATATCTGCTAGGAGAAGGGATATCGTCTGCTATCAGAAAGAATCGTTTGCTAAGTGAAATGTTGCAGAAAGTATTGGCCAGATGGTACAATCATTATCCTTCAATTTTCCCAAACGTTTACAAAACCTCCCCCTGTAACTGATTAAAAAATGTGTCCCTGAATAACAAAAACTATAAATGTCAAAGCACTTGTCGACCCAACTTGAAACCCCGATGATCTGAACCACCAACTCTAAGAGCAGGGCAGATATGTGAGAGTGTCTGGATCGATGGCTCTTTACAGCCCACGGGGCCAACTATACAAAACATTTCAAATAACCATTTCAAAAACAAACAACTAAATTAAAATGTTTCAGTCAAAACAAAACAAAACCCAACATTTTAGGTATATGCATTATTAATAGTTCCTTTAAAGCTGACTCGCCAAAAAACCAATGACCTACAAAAGATAAAGCTTAAAAAGTGGCGTAGGCAGGACTTTGGGGTGGAGTGTTCTCAAAACATTCATGCTGTGAACAATTCCTATAACCTAACATGCAGTGGCGTAGGCAAGGAGGGCGGGGTGGGGGGGGGGTTATAACCCCTCCCATGGACCCCTATATATATATATATATATATATATATATATATATATATATATATATATATATATATATAGGATTGTATACATAAGGAAAAATGTTTGAACCCCTCCCATGACCGATTCCTGGCTACGCCACTGCTAACATGAAACAATGTCATTATCGGGGTCAATGGGCGGGGGTTCTCTTCGTGATATGAGGGACCTTCTTTGTCGAATAAAACTACTAGGTGGGTTAGGGGCAGCTCTGCTGCAGCTGTAATATTTAGATCTGAAGGCAGTTGGTAGACTGACTTACTTATGATAGAGATATTACTTATCTTTTTATATGGCGAGTAAACACAATACAATGCCAACATTTTCATGATTCACAGAACCTAAAGAAAATGTTAACTACCTTCTATGAATCATTATTAAGCCAACCAACTCACTTTTTTCTCAGGAAGTTTTCTTCATAACATATTTTTTAAGTCTGCTAATGAACCATTGTATACAACAGTAATTTGTTTATTTTTATCAATGCTGATGTAAATTTTAATGAAGCCTTCTTGGTGTGCTCATCTTTCCGGCGGAAAAGATTAAATTTCCACAGATATCTGATGTTTTGTGCTAGGGGAGTTAGCTAGGGGAACTTCACTTTCAATGAAAGCTGGCAATGGAATGTTAGTTATTGTATCTGAGCCCAGCTAATAGTTTACGTAACAAACAACACAATCTATGTCACCCAAACACTCTTCTACATCTCTATTCAAAGCTAACGCTAAAGAGACTTTCTAAACCTGACATTAAAATAAAACAGGTTTCACCACAAAGATAAAATCACTCACACAACTTGGATGTAGTGTTATATGATGAAGATAAGAGTAAAAATTCATAATGCTTTATGCTGCTTCTGTAATATGTGTGTTGCCTGACTTCAATAAAACTGGAGTAACCAGAATTCTTTTGGAAAATACAAATACAAAACATCTTGGGTTATGTATATAAAACATCACCCAATATTTAATCAAATTAAAATTAACTTTATTGAGTTCTTATTTTATAGATTTTACTTGAAACAATAAAAGCAGGAAGTAGATCCCCATACTACATTACTACTTTTATCCTTAGAAAATAATTAAATTAGCATTAAGCTTCTGGCTTCTGTACAATTTGAGTTCATTTCCTGGGCCTTACAAATGTAGGAGATGGAAGAGGAACCTCAAAACCCAGCATAAAAGTGACTGTCTAAAATGATACTTGTAAAATATAGTATCATTTGTATGTATAGGCTTATACTACATAGCAATGTTATTTTTCAATTATATACAACAAAATAACCCCACTGTCTTGAGTTCTTGCTACCAAAGCCAATTTAAAAACAATTATGCTGATTCTTAATTATGCGCTTGATTCAGATAATCCTTATTGATTGCGTAAATCTACATGTTGAATACCAGAAAAATTGCCAAAAAATTACATCTGTTTATTATTATTAAAGTTTACATTATTTTACATTATTTTCTAAATATGATTAAACTTGAGAGTATTTTCCCTTAAATTATTCTAAACAGTTAATTAATGTTTTCAACTTAATAGTTTAGTAAAACAAAAACACTATCTCAGTATATCTAAAATACATCTATTTAATTTGTTAAACAAAATATATAATGTTGAGCTTTTTGTGTAAATTGGATCAATGGCCCCACTATTTTTTAGAAAGGCAAAAAAAAAGGTGCTAGGTGTACCCAAAATAAAACTTTGGATTAAATTAACAAAAACTGAATATAATGGATTAATTTGATATTAACTTTAACCCCACTTATTGAAATATGATGAACAAAATGAATCAATTTGGTAGTGTGGCGCCCCCCCCCCCCCCAAGCTCTTTTGGAGTTAAATGAACCAGTTTGAAATTTCAGTGTTAGACAAAAGTAGTTTGTAAACCACTCACCCAATTCCTGGTCATCTACTGGGAGGATTTGTCGCGCTTCCACCCATTTGGCCGCTACCTTCCATGGCGAGTCACTGAGTTGGTATGTGTACTGTGGTGTGTACCTGTCTATCAGGGATTTGATAACCTGGAACAAATAAAACAAGAGTTAATATTACAGAGCAGTGAGTTTGGTAGCTAACCCATAACAAACACTAACATCTATGAGTGTTAGTGTCATTTCTAAGCCGCAGAATAACAAAGTTTTAACTACTTATTTAAAATATATATGGTGATGATCAGTATGTTGTGAAATGTGAACATCATGTTTAATATATACACAAAAAAGATCATAAATACAAATGAAAATACATTTAAAAAAACCTTATACCTGTGTTACAGAAATATTTTGTTGCGCTGAGTCTTGATTAACAGCATTCATAACAACACTCTCCTGCCTCCCATTGGGTGGGAGCACCTCAATAGGAAACTCACCCCTGTGATAATCTTTATCTAGACCATTGCCATACTGATTATACCCAGCGTCCACACCTAAGCCACGGGCATTCTTGAGGCGATAAAGTTCTGGCTCTAAAATCTTGTAGGATACATAAATTACAAACACCGCTGCTCCAACAAAAAGCAGCCGAAACTTTGTCTTCATCCTCCATTCATGAAAAATTTGATTGATTTAATACAGTCATCAGTTTTTTTTTTTTGATTCGATGAGTTCACAGTTACTAATGTCACCAAAATCAAGAATGAAATATTTCCGGCTATAATCATGAGATGTTTTTGTTCCAGTAGATAATCAAATGTAACAGAACTTTATGATAGAAAAAAGACCACGTTTTATAATATGAACTCTAGTAAAAGTGATTTCATTAACATCTTATACATATAACAAACTATTTAAAACTCTAATGAAGAATTCCAAAAACATTTTTCAACCTCATTGCAAAAACTCAAAGAATTTGTTATCTCTAATTAGAAACTGAATCGACTGAACATTCAGAGGTATTTTTTATATAGGTGTATAAGACAATATAAATTATTTCATGATACAGTCTGTTACAAAAATTCAAAGGCATGCACTTGAAAGAAAATATCAAAATTATTTTCTGCGCATAACTAAATTTACCTGGAAAAAGGTTAAGAATAAAGTCTATTTTTTAATATACATATTATATATAGTACTATTTCTCCCAAGATATAGAATTTAAACATATTCTTCACAACCTAATACCAAGACATGATCACGGTGATCTTATATTTTGTGGGTGATATTCAACACTTTAGGGAGGCTTATAAATAGGGAAAAGGACACTCATCTTTTAATACTGAGATTTAAGCTTGAGCTGAAGATAAAATTTGGCTATCAGAAAACAGCACATCTATTCCTCATTCACATATTGATTTGTCATTTGAAAGCTACATTAAAAAATCAATAGAAAATAAGCTTACGCTATGCTAGGCACAGTATAGAATTGCTTTGTGCACCAGATGTCACTAATCTTAACCTGTTTAATTTTCACATCTCATGACAGTTTAGCTGTGAGGTTTATAGAGGCTAGGCAATAAAGACTTTATTATTTTTACTTCAGTAGGGATTGCTGTACCTATATAGTTAGTTTTGTAAAATTTAATTACTTTTGACAATTTTTATTTTCTAGTATACGAGGTATAGAGAAATAGAGAAAGTATTGTAATCGTGCAAAGAAAAAAAATTGAGATTTTTGCAAATCTCGATGTTCTAAACCTCCCTCAGTCGGAAAAACATAGCTTTGCAATCTTGTCCACATGTCTGTGTCTGTAAACACGATAACTTGAGTACCGTTACATGAAATTTCATATATAAGTATTATATCAAATTTGTAGATCTGTACCAACTTTTGCAATCACCTATCAGTCAGCATGATTTATTCATTTCATGTCTAAAAATAAACTTATTACACATTTTATTAAAGCCTGGTTATAATGAGTATTTTACTTTTTTTTTTATTAGGCCAATAGGATTCAAATTACTTGTTATATCACTGGTTAGAAGTTATGGGATAGAATACTTTTTTGTGATTTAATTCCACATCTCTTCTACAATGAGGGAATAAAATACAAAGCCAAATGTAGGCTAAGTTCACCAAATCATCTATATATATATATAATTCTCTTCTTGGAGACGTTAGAAAGCCTTGCAGTCCCCTCTCTTCCTCTCTAGGAAGTCTGGTGAGCTGTGGTTCACGTTAAATGTCTACAATCGTAGAGCTGGGTTTAGTGACGGCTATAAGGGGCAGATAATTAAGTTTGAAATGATTTTAAACTTAGGGGAGGTAACGAAGAGGAGTTTGCTTTCAAGGGGGGTGGGGAGTGGGGGGGGGGGGATGGGGTATGGGTTGGGGGAAAGGAGGGGGTATCGTCCTTAACGACCATCTGATGGTGTTTTAAAGCAAATATTTTCAGTGGCAGCATTGGTACTGTCGAATTCACAAATTATGAATTACTGAAAAGTAGAAAATAAAACAACTAAATAGTGGCGTATGATACGCCACGGGTCGGCTCGTAGTTAAATAATATACAACAATACTGTACTATTAGGCAATTAGAAGATAGAATTAAATATAAAACTAAGGCAGGAAATACTAGGTTAAGCTCAAAGCTATTAATAATCCAAGCTCTGTCCCATCAAGAAAACAAATAGGCCTAGGCTTAGACAAAGAACATTTAGATCTAGATGACAAGAAAAATCAGGTCATTGTAGCCGCATAGCATTATTTTATCATATTATCAGATCTTCTTCCGGCTAGAATCCTAGAATCGGCCTTAAGATTAAGTTGTATGTTAAAGTTTATTTTAGTTTATTCAAAGAACCCTAGATTTTTTACTAGATAGATTCTAGATTCTAGATCTAGAGTAAAGTTCCACGCGCGGTTAAAACACCGGTGCGATCATCGCCTGTTTATCGCTTCGTACAATATTTGTTTTGATGTTTTATACGAAACTACCGATATCTGCTGTAAACCTGTCCATTTCTAAATATATCCAGGTCAAATTCTTTTGTTTTTCTCCTTCTGGAAGTCGAGTTTTTAAATTTTAAAGTTTCGAGGTATGACGTCGTAGGCGGTTCTAGTTCCCCCTATGAAAAACACTAGGTCCCGGATGAGATGAATAAAACCAACCAATCAAAGCTTTTTATAACTAGGTTAACTATAAATAGCTTCTACAATATATGCGGGACACTTTACATACGATAGATAAGGCTAATAAAGCAACCTGATAGGTAAATAGGGGTGGCCGCAGCTTGGGTGTCGATTACGGTGGTTTCACATCGCTGCGTAACCAACGACTTGAGCTAGACTAGCCTAGTTCTAGATGCTCTATATTTCAAACTAAGCCTAGAATCTGTATACTTTCTATTTTTTTCTGCTGTTTTAAATTATTTCGATCATCTACTTCTTCTAAATCTAGTTTGTGTCTCTACATACAAGCATATCTAAGCAAATGTTACGTTATGTCTTTTAGTGGTTGTTACGTCCCTTTGTTATGATTATTATAGTTGCGTCCCTTGAGTCATCACTGGGTCAACTTTTAATGTCTTTAATTAATTTAATTAACATGTTTTTAATTATTATTTTTGCAATCTATTAATTAATAATACAATCAACAACACGTTTAAGTGTGTAAAATATTTATTTCAATTATTAAAATTGGATCAAAACGTATACAATACGCTCGTTGGCAAGCAGGTTCTTGCGTACGCAGGCAAAAAAAAAAGGGAAAAAAAATATCGCAAGGAGGGACGTCACTAAAACATGAATATCTTAAATACTATGCGTAGGAATACAAAATGACTCATACATATTACAGTAGAATGGCAGCGGAGTAATACAGTGCTTTCGGTTTGTTTCTGTGTGAAACGGTTATAAAATAGCGCCCGATGAAAATCGGGAATTTGGAATTTTCCGCTATGTGTGACCGCGCGTGGAACTTTACTCTAGATATTTTGCATTTCTAAACATTTCTATGATCTGATGATTGTGTAAGTCACTGGTAGCGATTACAGATTTGACTTCAGACTTATCTCACTTCATAAACTTGAAACTTCCTCAAAAAAATGGCCCAATGAATCAGAGAAATCCAATCCTCAAAACAAAAACTCAAGTGAAAGAATTAGAAAGTGAGAAAGTGACAAGTGTCACCTATCTTATATCTAGATCTAAAACACTGAAAAATGAGGAACTATTTCTGACATTTTCTTTTTATGTTAACTCAGAATGAAAAAAAAAGAATATCACTTATTAATAAAACCATGGTAGACGTGTAGGCCTACATTTGTTATGTGAAGACAACAGAAGGTAAACTCAACTGTTTACTATTACATCCGCCATATTTAGTCGGGGTAAATTAAAAACTATAACGTGAGAAAATAGAGTAGCATCCCTTGCACCGGGGTTTATTTTTCCCGGTTGCTTCCCTTAGCTGGTGGATTTTTGATGCCAATGCATATGAAAAGGCCCAAAGTGTGATGACCTTAATATTCATTGTAATTTAAATTTAAACTTCTCACTATGTATAATCTATACAATCTAACAAAGACAACATGGGAAATAGAAACGAAACGTAATACAAGTTTTAAAATAGATCTATGTTTAAAGTAAATATTTTGAGGGTGGTAATGGGGGGGGGGGGGGGGAAGGAGGAGGAGGCAGCTGCAGGCTGATGTGTGACATCTTTTTTTGGGAGTGGGGTCTGGCATTTTGGTGACGATGGGGAAGAGGGAGGTAAAAGTCTTTAAAAAAGCGCGACATTATTTATGAATGACTCCCCCCTCCCCCCCCCCCCATATCTTTCTAAACGAAAAGTCTTGCTTGGTCATCTTGCAACAGAAACTTTATCAACGTGATAGAACGTACATGTTTTTGTATAGTGCCTTAGCGTCTTCTCTGCCTACATCTTTTCTGGTTTTTTTTATCTAACCTAAATCTTGATGATCACACAACCTAAAGCTTGATGATCACACAACCTAAAGCTTGATGATCACACAACCTAAAGCTTGGTGATCACACAAGCTAAAGCTTGATGATCACACAAGCTAAAGCTTGATGATCACACACCCTAAAGCTTGATGATCACACAACCTAAAGCTTGATGATCACACAAGCTAAAGCTTGATGATCACACAAGCTAAAGCTTGATGATCACACAAGCTAAAGCTTGATGATCACACAAGCTAAAGCTTGATGATCACACAAGCTAAAGCTTGATGATCACACTATCCATTCTTATTCTGGGTCATAGAAAATGTTACGTTCACGTCATCCGCCCACTCAAGAGGGGTAAGTTGACCAAAGTCCGAGCAGGTGTCGTTATGGGAGAGTATTCGCACGGTGTACGTTCTCTCGCTCACATTATCACTGCTACCTACACTGAATCTGTTAATTACGTCAAGATAATTGCATGACATCATTTCTGCTTTCTACACTAATTATGTTAATTACTTCTTGATTATTTTTGTTCTTCTTCGTTTTTAATTGTAATAATTTTGAACAGGATCTTCATCAACTAAAGTATTTCATGTCAGCATGTTATGAGCCATATAGGCCGTTGACTCCGACTTAAGTCTGCTTTTCTTTCTGGATTTGCTTCTTTGTACTCTCAAGAACAATCTGCAAGACAGAAGTTGGTTGAGTTTGGAGTTGTCTCTCCTAGATGGGCAGCTGTCTCGAGCTAAGGTGCATCATCTACCCGGAGGCTCGAACTCGGGACTTTATGAATTAGCAATCATACGTTCTCCCTGCTGACCACGCCGCCCCCTCAAGTTTAGATGCTCCCTGCTCCCCCCCCCCTTAAGTTTAGATGATACCATTTGGTCCAAACCCTGATGACTAAATGGAGGTTTGTATACTAGCCAAGATACCGTTTCTGGGTGGGGATGTTGGCAGCAATATTGGTCACCCGTTCATTACTTTCAGAGTTAACTAGCCATTCATTAAACGGCCATTGTGCGTTTATAGACCTTCTACTACTAAAAACTGAGTAATTGGGAGAGGTCAAGTAGTCGGCCTGTGCTCCGTGAAGGTTCTGTAGATAAAACATGGATGCTGATTCAAATTTTTCACTCTAGTCCTGCTCCATCAACAGTTTCCGTTCTCAGATTTCACGTGTAATTCACGATAATTCACGTGTAATTCACGTGTGACGGACTGACACGCAACTAACAAAAGAAACCAAACAATCGTAGGAAACAAGCCATGCATACGGGGTGAATAATTCATCGGTCGATTCGGTTCAGTTCACGTAATGAAAGTTATCGATTACTTTAGGAAGGTATCGATTAATTTAAATAATTGAGTATTTACTTGTTTGGATCGTAGTAACTTAGTAGTTTTATTTTTATTTTATAAGGAGTATAGAGGTAAATATTGTAAATGTTCACAAAAAACAAAATCGAGATTTCAATATATCTTAATGTTTTAGACTTTTGTCCGAAAAAAACACACAACAGTTTTGCAATTTCGTCAGTGTGCGTGTGTTTGGGTGGGAGTATGTGTGTGAGTGTGTGTGTGCGTGTGCGTGTGTGTGTAAATACGATAACATGAGTACCGTAAAGTTTTAGTTGGGTGGACAAAAATTCGTTCATAGCCCACATAGGTTTCTCTTCTGGTAACCGGAAATCGTACTTTACTGTATTTCTGGTTTCTCAAAAAACCTTCAGAAATTTGACAATTTTATATTATTTAAAGCAGCATATCCTAAGATATTTTTACTTCTAATAATAAATGAATGTTAATATATATATATATATATATATATATATATATATATATATATATATATATATATATATATATATATATATATATATATATGTAACTAGGGGAAGTTACCAGACATAAGAAAGCGGTACAGCGCTGTCAACTTTGACACGACTGATGTAATAACACAGGTGGTGGCTGATAACGATCAGAAAGCCAGGGCGTAGTATCTCGGGAAGCGATACGAAAGACGGTCTGTCAACTTTGATGTGACAGGATGCAGATGGCTTATTAAATCGGACTGTACAACAGAAGCGGCGTAATGCAACGATTACGATTACGAGTATGATAGGACCGAATATGATTACGGATATGAAGGGGATAAATAAGGAAGGCGACGGCTGAGCTCGCAGTCTCAGTCTCTCTCTCTCGCTCGCTTTCGATCAGTGAGTCAGTGTGGCAGTATCAAGTTGGTTATTGAACGGGTTAGCCGTATTGTGTTAAGAAGGACGTTAGACATGTGTATTCAGTTAGATGAAGCCTAGTGAGGACTGTTGGGGGTCCGTTGATTCAGACTATTATTGTGAAACATCTCTCTTGATTCATTATATTATTGTGAAGCATTCTTTGATTCATGTAATAAAAGGATCAATAATGAACCTGCATCTTCGAGTATCTATGCTGTGGTCAATGTTGTGTGGAATGAGTGGTTAGACTCGGGAAGGTTACATTTGGCGTTGTCGGCAGGGTAGCCAGAGACTCGTTACATTTGGCGTTGTCGGCAGGATAGACTCGGGGACTCGTTACATTTGGCGCTGCGACCAGGATGAATTCAACGAGACTTGCCGCTTGAGGCACCCATAGTCAACCTAGTTCATAACTGTGTTTAGTGTGTGTGTGAATTCGGACATTCAGGAACAGTGAAAATTGAGGAACGAGGAAAATTTTTTTCATACACACACGGTAAGAAAGAACTCTTTTTTTTTTTTACTAAAGGAATAAAATGTCTACTCTGGACGAGAAGCAGACCCATATTGTGGTCCTGCCCAGAGAGTCCCACATTAACAAATTTTACGGGGACGGTGATCCAACTTTAACCAACAGGTTCAGTGAAGAGGTCAAAGCGGCCTGGGCCTCGAGACACATGTCACCAGAGGAAAGATTAAGACTGCTGATGGGCAGTATAGGAGAGACGGTTAGGGCAGAGGTCAAATGCCACGATAAAACCGTCCAATCAGATCCAGATAAGGTGCTGGATCTAATTATGGAGACCTTTGGGGAGAGACGGTCGGGATCGCAACTGCTATCGGGGTTCGTAGGCTTAAAGCAGAGAATGGCGGAGAGTGTGATGGAGTATTCACACCGAATAAACAGGGCCTTTGATTCGGTAAAGGGCAAAACACCTGACATTGATGTACGCCTACTGAGGGACCAGTTCATCGAGGGGCTAGCAACCCCGATCTTAAGGAGAGAGTTGAAAGAGGAGGTCCACAAAGACCCGCAGTTGACCTTCCTTCGGGTCAGGAACTCAGCGATCCGCAGGTCCGAGGATGAGGACCAATCGAACTGTTCGGTGGACAAAGTCTCTGTGCCGGAACAGAAACAATCCCCACCCACGGGGACCGGCACGGTGGAAACCATGATGGCTCAACTGTTGGCCCACCTGGATAAGGTTAACCAAAGATTGGAGAGGTTAGAAAGCAGGTCAACAGCTGAGAATCAGGAAAAGAACGGTACAAAACAGAGACAGGTTGGACGGCCGCGACCCGCCGGTCCATCACTCCGGTGGACGGCTGACGGTCGACCAATTTGTTTGTCCTGTTCACAACCCGGACATATGGCACGGTACTGCCAGGGAAACGGTCGTCCTCTGTAAGGCAGGGCCAGGCTACAGAGGGGCGAGGTTATGGCCCAAGAAGCAAAATGATGGGAGTCTGTCCCGAAATGGTGATTACGATTGGGGACATCGCGGTGAAGGCGATTGTGGATACAGGCTCCCAGGTGACGACAATCACGGAAAATTTTTACACCAAATGGATGAAAGGAAAAGACCATAGGTTGAGGTCTGACACATGCATGCGCCTGACGGCAGCTAATGGACTAACCATTCCTTACTGTGGTTATTTTCTGGCGGATGTCGTGGTGGCGGGACATAGGTTGAAGCAGGTTGGGGTGTTCGTTACGAAACACAACCTAGAAACAAATGTGTCAAATATACCTTGCCTGTTGGGCATGAATATTCTTGGCCAGTTGCCAGAATTTCTTACAAATATTGTCGGATCGACCACACCAGGTCGGGGATCCAGGTTGGCCAGGTTTGCCAAGACCAGAGGAAGGATATCAGTCCCGGCAAACACGGTCAAGGCAATCACATTACAAATTGGGGATAGAAGCGTGAATGGTGATGTGATGATAGAACCATGTGGCGCCGCACTGAGGGCAGGCGTCGTGTTACTGCGGACATACACATCAGCGGAAAATGGACTAGTTCAAGGATTAGTGGCAAATGTTTTGGATGAGGAAATTTTTATACCGCCTAATACTCTGGTAGGAGTACCACAGAACGTCGAGGTACAAAGGTCGGCACAGTGCATCGAACTGAGCAATACCAGCAGTAATGAAGTAACAATTAGGTCGGTCAA